AAGGTTATACGACAAAATATCTCCATTAAAAATATCTCCGTCAAAATATCTCTACCAAAATATCTCCAGTATAAAATATCTCCGTCAAAATGATCTCCAATACAAAATATCTCCCGATTTATGCCATAGCTATCTGATAGAGAAAATGTTATTGACGTTGATAGTGAGTGTACTTTGTACTTCCCTATCATGGTCCGCTTGGCGTTTACCAATACAGATTAAGTTAAAGATAGGTAATTTTATTTGATTATACCTAATCGATAGATAAAAATTTAGACGAGAGAGCCGGAACTGTGTCACACACTGACACTGCGTGACATTGGTTTGTGTTAGGTGCATGTGCGTTAACGTACTATTAAATAAATATGCCTTTAAAATTTGTTAAAAGCCAAAAAGTTAAACAACTTTTAATAAACAATGGATATTTGCATATATATTATAAAAAGGGTAGTGATAAATTCATTTGGCGTTGTGTTGATTATCAAAAATATAAATGCAGCTCATGCTTTACGTCAACAATGGATGAAACTGGTATGTGTTACACTTTATTTTAACAATATTTGAATTTAAAATACTTTTTTTTAACAATATTTATATTTAAAATAATTTTAAAGGGACAATTATGAAAGAGTCAGTTCATTATCATGCACCAGATATTTCAAATGTCCAGGCAAAAATAGTTATTGAAAAATTAAAAGAAAACGCCTTAATCACAGAATTATCAACAAGAAACATTATTAGTAGAACAATGTCAACAACTGAAGTTGGTGTGGTTGGCCAGTTACCAAGTATAACTTCGATGTCTAGTACAATCCAAAGAGTGAGAACGAAAAATGAAAAACCACCTGAAAACCCACTGACCATTCACGATTTGGTATTACCCGATGAATATAAGAACATACACGGTAATAATTTTTTAATGTATGATAATAAAAAAGAAAATAGAATATTAATGTTTGCTACAAAAGAAAATTTGGACACACTTCATACATTTAAAAATTGGATGGCAGATGGAACATTTCGAGCAGTTCCGAAATTATTTTCTCAATTGTATACAATACATGGTTATAAAAATAGAACAACTATTCCGCTTATCTATGTTCTCATGACTAACCGAACTACCAATTCGTACAACGAAATGTTACAAATGCTAAAACATAACAACCCAAATTTAAACCCTTATTCTATCATAATAGATTTTGAAAAAGCATTTGAAACAGCATTTAATGATAAATTTCCGCAAACAAAGATAAAAGGATGTTATTTTCATTTTCAACAATGCCTATGGCGGAAAATTCAAGAAAATGGTTTACAGGCGTTATACTCTGAAAATGTTGAATTCGCATTACAAGTAAGACATTTGGCAGCTTTGGCATTTGTACCAACAAATAAAGTTATAAACTATTTTGAAAAATTAGTTGACTCAACTTATTTTATTAACAATGAAAACAATTTATCGACGTTAGTAGACTACTTCGAGGATACTTGGATCGGCCGTTCAACACGTAATCGTAGACGCCCGCCTAAATTTCAAGTCAGTATGTGGAATTGCTATGAGAGAGTTTTGAAAAATAAACCTCGGACAAACAACTCAGTTGAAGGTTGGCACCATGCATTTAATTCAGCATTAGGAGCAAATCACGTTACCATTTGGAAGTTTATCACATTTTTAAAACAGGAACAAACTTTACAAGAGGTATTGTATTATACAAATTTAAAATATTGAATAAAATAAATTATATTAAAAATTTAATGTATATTTTACAGGTTCGGTTAGAAAAATTAATTTCTGGAGAGCCTAGTCCAAAAAAAAAAAAAAAATATAAGAACCACGATGAAATGATATTGAACGTAGTGCAAAAATTCAATGAAACTCCAGCCGTTCTTTACTTAAGAGGAATTGCTCAAAACATAAAATTTTAATTTTAAATTTTAAAACATGATTTTTTTCTATTTTTTTTTTTTACGATTATGTGTAAAATAATATTTTGATATTTGTTTAATTGATTTAATTTTTGCTCAAAACATACAATTTTAAAACATGATTTTTTTATATTTTTTATTTTAAAATTTTTTGAAAATATTTTGTCGGAAATATTTTGTATTGGAGATAATTTTGTCGTAGATATTTTGTATAGGAGATAATTTTGACGGAGATATTTTGACGGAGATATTTTTAATGGAGATATTTTGACGGGTCACCGTTGTAAACACTGGGTATGGACAAATACCAATCACTCAGATGATATCTGAAAAACAAAATTGTTTCACGATGTACAAATGGCTTGGTGATTGGCTTAATTCTGGTATTCAACCACCTAATGAAGCTGTATGTGATTTTTCTATGGCTCCTTTAGGTGCCATATCTAGAGCATTTTTTGATGGAAGCAGTCTACGTTTTTATTTGGATAATTGTTTTAACATATTCTTGGGTCAAGAGAGACTATTACCCCAATGTTTTATACGTATTGATGTCGCACATATGATGAAAATATTTTGTTGATTGAAATCCTTAACTGGAATTAAAAACAAACATCTTAAAAACTTTTATGTTAGAGGAATTCGACTTTTATTAACATCGTATGAAATTAACGAGTTTAAAAATATTTTACCGTCATTATTAACTGTATCTAATGATGAGTGAAAAAGATGGTTGGTTAATCGATAACTCTATTTCTCCTGCTGAATCAAGTCGGGAACATATATTGGATTTAGTTAATGGTATTAAATATGATATAGAGAATGTATAAGATGAAGATGTTGATATAGTTCCAAATGAAGAACCAGGGACGGAGTTTGAAGAAACTCCAAACTCTATTGCCGAGTTTTTGAGTGGTATTGATATTATATCTTCTGATAATGTTAAGAAAGAGGGGAATCGTATTTCTGCTTATTATATTCCCAACCTGGCAAAAGATGTACAAAGGCTATGTAAATACTTTCCTCTTTGGACTTGAGTCATGAAACCGAAGTTTAATTCTCCATTTAATATCGCTTCCTCGGCAGCTGTTAAAAGTGATTTTGGAGAACTAAAACACAAGATTCTTCGTTTTGAAGGACAACCTATGACCGCGGATCGGTTTGTATGTAAACATTTAATATCCATCAACAGTAATACCAAGCTTTTTAGAAGTTCTCAGCTAAGAAATGAGTTACCAAAAATTTCTACAACTGACATTTCAATTGATATTCATGAATACAATAACCAGAGTGATGAATAAAAAGTTAGATATTCTGAAAGTTCAGACACTTTAAAATCAACAAAACATAATAATATTAGTATTAATGATCGTATTCTAGATTCTGTTATGGAAGATACACAGTTTCCTCAATCAGACAGCAGTGACTCAGGTAGATCCAAAACATCTTTAGATTTAACTGTAAATTGGCGTGGTAAAGGTAAAAATGAAGACGTCGCACCATATGTTAAAGAAAAAAAGAAAAAAAAACAAGATTGACAATGTACATGCGATCATCACCAGAAATTGATCAGATTTTAAACAGAAAAACCCGTTCTAATTTGAACACATTGTTAATTAATGGTAATATTTCTACCCTTCTTCGTAGAATGAAAAAAAAATACATCGTTAACAAAACTTGTTCTTTTGACTCTATTGCTTTCATACTATCTATGGCATATTTAGATCACCCTCAGTATAAATCATTTGTCGATGTTAGTGATAATACGCTTTTACAGTTTTGCAAACATTTGGCATTAAATGGAACAAGCAAAATATCATATATGACCCGCTTGAAAATACTAGGCATTTTTGACGAACAAGAAAGTATTAATAACGTAAGAGTTATTGATGCTAGATGCAACGTATTATTTATTATCACAAAACTATTAAAAACAGCTCCATCGGCAATTGAACATATGATATGTTCTAACAATATCAATTGTCCTCAATCTACTAGAGATGTACCAAGTCCCACAATAATTGTACGATTAAAAAACAATATGCAAGATTTAAATAATGCATTAAACTTGTATGTATTTCCCAAAGAGATAGAGAATGTCCATCAAATTAATGTACAGGAACAGTAATGGAACAGGACTTTTTCAATCATACTTATTTATTGAAACTGACGTATTCGCTGAAAATCAACATATCCCACTTCATGAATTTCCATTGGCATTGTTTATTTAAAATTCAAGGTAAACAATTAATTTATCACTAAATTAAAAAAATTATTTATTTAATATTTTTGGGTTTTAATTCTGTGATAGATATGTTTTTTATGGAGTTTTTGCATATGGAACGGATCATTATATGTCATATATTCGAAGAATTGATTGAAGAATGATTAAACATACTAGGCCATTGTACTGACATGGTATACATTTATCGGTGACTACAAAAAGTTATATAAATTATACCAAGTTGCAAAAAAAATATTAGGAAATTCAGTCAATATTGTCCAACAAAGGCTGTAGGATAGGATTAAACTGAGTATTTTAAATGTTCATGGGCATTGTTAGATTTTTCAAACGCTGTGTAGAGTCGACTTAACAGTAATATTACTATCCATGATTGTATGTAGTTTTTTTATGAATTGAAATTGTTAACCTAGTTTTAATATTATGGCTTATGGGTATATAATTATTAGGGCTGAGAACTTCTGGTTTTTTCTTAGAAAAATTAAGAACATATTTGGCAATTTTCGAAATTAGTTCTTAAATTAGATAAGACAAAAAAGAACAAAGTGGTAAATTTTTCATTTCAAAATAATATTTTTAGTATCGGTTAGGTAATTTACAATCTGACCGATAAAATATACCAATAAAATCGATAAAACCGAAATGCGCATAAGTAATAAACTTCAGTTGTCCGTCATATTTCGTCGCGTACTCGTATTATTGTGCACACTGCATGAAATATTTTCGTCGAGTAATTATTTCGTCTCTTTCAAATTTTTTTAGTAATATTTATTTATTTTTGTTAAATATGCCAAAGAAAAAACAATCATTGGCTTCTCGTTTAAATAGTTATGTGTCGGAATTTAGTGAATGTAGTGGTCCAGTATTTACAGCTGACGGCAAAATATTGTATAGTAAATTGTGCGATTCAAAAGTTGAAAGTGGCAGAAAATTCAACGTTCAACAACACATTGACACAGCTAAACATAAAGCAGCTATTAAACGAAAACAAAGTAAAAATAAAATTGATTTACAAAAAACTCAACAACAAATTTTAAGTAACACAAAAAAGTCTTCTTTTAATCTATATATGTTATGCTTTGTTATCGGCTAACATTCCATTAAATAAATTAAATAATCATAATTTTGAGTCATTTTTCTAAAAATATAATTCGAAACAAATTCCAAATCAAACTACAATTTGTAAAGGTTATGTGAATGACATTTATGAAGACACTTTAGTGAAAATTAGAAGTTTTATATTTGGTAAAAAAATCTAAAATAATTTTTTAGAGCTTATTTTAAGTGCATATTTCTTGATTTTTAAGTGGATAAGTGCATGCATATCATTAGATTTTTAAGTACTAGAAGTCCTCAGCACTAATAATTATGTAAAATATTGCTAAAGCAGTTTGAAGTTTTTATGACCACGTGAAGAGACTGCATGAAATTGCGCTCCACTGGCCATTTCGTGTTTTACTATCCGCTAAACGAATTGCAATTTTTTTCGAGAGACATGCAATTAGTCCAAAAAAAATTGCCAAATATCGATACCAGTTTGAAGTTAGTGGGACCTAGGGGTTGTGTAGCCTACCTTATGGTAATTTCAGTTGTAGTTACCTAGTATATTTAAAAAAAATAACATTTATTATTATTTTTATACCAATTATAGGTTAAGTGGGAAATTTTTGAATAAAAAAATTTGGGAAAAAAATGTTTGCAGTCGACAACTTCAATAATAGATTAACTACTATTTGCTATTCATCCGCTGACTAACTGTGCTTGTTTCGGATCATCTGTGTGGGGGGCCTTGATTTGGCGTGAACTCATACCCCCCATAAGTATTTTCGGATTTACAGGCCTCACGATGAATTGCAAATTTTTTGGCGAGACATGCAATTAATTGCATAAAAATTGCCAAATTTTGATACCAGTTTGAAGTCTGTGGGATCATGTGGTGGGGGGGGCAACTTCACGAACGTCAATCGGCGACCTAAAAGTGATCAAGAACGGAGTCAGCAAGCTGTTATATAATTCTGGCCAAATATGTTCAGCAACAAATTTGTAAGACATGGGTCTCAGTATGAACCAGTTGCAAGGGAGTTATATTAAAATAAAACTGACAAAGTAGTAATGCAGTGTGGCTTTATAACTTCAAATAAAGCAAGATGGTTAGGTTATTCACCTGATGGAGTTGTTTTAGATAATTTAACAATATTCCTATTAAGTTGATAGAAATTAAATGCCCTTTTAAAGGTAAAACGTTATAATCTTTAAATGTATTAAATTGTATCGAGTTAATTGTTAAAGCTAAAAAAGACAATTGGATTATTAAAAAAAAACATGCTTACCAATTTAGTATAATAATTATATTTGTCAACAACTAGGTAATTAAAAAAAAAATATTTATATCATAACTAAGGCTTGGATCACACTATGCGTTTGATCGGTTAATTATAGAGTAATATATACTCTGTTCAGAATAGTTTGCACCGCTTGCTTCACCAAAATTCTGGACACCGATGGGAGCAGCACCGGATCCGACGATGACTGGCAATGACTGTTGGCCAATCACAGAACGCATAGCCATCGCATGGGGGGTCAGGCACTGTCCGGCGACTCAGTTTGCATGAGCGACGCGGTTTCTATCTTAACCTGAACAGAGTATAGAAGCGGCGTTCCCTATTCAAACTGTACATGGGACTGATGACCAACTAGCGGTCATTACCCCAATTACTCCCCCATCGACTATGCTAGATGACAGTATTCAAATGTCAAAAACACGATAACAACGTTCTTATCACTTCGGGAGAACTGGAGTAACACTGTGACAACCAGCCGGAAATACCTGACGGGTAAATCTTGTTGAATATGAGTAGGTTGTGTTTCGTTGGAATTTATTCTACATCCTGGATACAATAAATGATGACGTAGTTGTGGAATATAGTTCGGAAGTGGCGTAAGGTAAATTTTAAGTTGACATATGATAATGTAGTAAACCGACGTTTTTACACAAAAACGGCGTTCCAAAGGTTAGGTGGCCTGAACAACATCACGCCACCAAAATAGGCCACTGAGGCTGCCGCCTCATTGGTTAATACTGATCGTCTACGCATCACGCCATTCCTATGACGTCAATCATCCTTTCCTAAATCCCGGGCATGTCTCATATAAATAGGGGCCCTGTTTCACAGACTTTTTAGACATAGAAGTAATTACCAGTGCTTAACAATACTTGTGTGGGTCGCGGACTAGAAACAGCCGCATTGCCGTCCACATCAAGTATAATTTCAATTACAACTATTCTCCGGTAGAATTATTATTCTGTCGACAAATTTTACATTACTTTAAATTAACTACATTATTAGTTTTGTGTTAATAAACATTATATCTATAATTAACTACATTTTGTGTTAAACTATTCTTACTCTACCTTCACTTCAACCACCATCCTCCGATTCATTGCGACGACGTGTACGTGCATTCGTCGTTAAAGAAGTGTGCAGTAACCAATCAAGTGAGAGCGACGGGTTACTACATAAAATTTGGTGTCAGGTGTGGGGTTTCACTTCATCAAACGAAAACTTTTCGAGACGTCGAAAAAAAGTACTTTGAGACCCACCGACGAAACCACGTTCACAACGTCAAGGAGGAGTGAGGACAGTAAGAACATTCAATCAAGAGCATTCCAAACAAGGTCAGTCCAGGAAGGACGGTAAGAGCATTCAATCAAGGGCAGTCCAGGAAGGACGTTTTCAAAAATCAATTTTTTCACGGGCAATTAAGACTACAGGATGCAAAAATTGTAAGTCATTTGAATAAAATATTGTATGTCTGTAGATAGATCTAATTGGCAAATTGTTGCGTATAATCCCGTTACACTAATAATTAAAATGGCTAATCCAGATCAATTAAGTTTAGAAGGGGCAATCAAGTTAGTACCTTCATTTTCGGGGGGATCAGAATCGGATTTAGCTTCCTTTATGGCTAAATGCGAATTCATTTTTAAAAGTATCCCTAATACTTTGAAACCCATTATTTTAGATGCCATAATAACCCAGCTAAAAGGTAATGCATTCGAGGCCGTTAGGTATAAGGTAATTACCACCTGGGACGAACTAAAAAATTTATTTAAAACCGTTTTTGGTTCGGCACATTCAGTGTCGTACTTACAGGTACAATTAAGTCAGATGCGCCAAAATTCAAAAGAATCTATTAAAGAGTTCTCGATTAGGATCGAAAAAACTGCACACGAATTAACACACGCGTTAACGGTAGATAAAGACCCAGCACAAGTAAATATTATAGCTCAAACAGTGCAAGCGCATGCACTAAGCGTATTCATAGCGGGAGTCTCACAGTCTATCGGAATTATATTAAAAGCGCGCAATATTCAAGTATTCGAAGTAGCAGTTTTACACGCAATGGAGGAGGAAAAATCCTCCGAATATTATAATAATGCGTTCGGGAATAATAATTTTCAGAATAATAAAAATAAATTCGATAAAAAAAAGTTCAACGATAAAAGCGCGGTTAAATGCCACCGTTGCGAACGAGTCGGTCATTACGCAAACGAGTGTAGAACTAGCGAACATAAATTACCTACTTTTAGAAATCCGAACAGCGGTCAAAGTCCGAAGACAGAAATTAAGCGCGAATATTCTAGCAAATTCTGCAAATATTGTAAAAAAACTAATCACGACATTAGCGAATGTCGGAAATTAAAATATAATGAAAAAAAGAAACTCGAGGAGAAAAATAATAGGAGCGATCAAAATAGATCCATCGAAGAAATACAATCGGGAAGTAACGTACGCGTAATAACGCCTATAACGCGGGAACATATAAAATGTTTTTCCGATAAATTTGTTAAAAGCGAAATCAAATTTTTAATTGATAGCGGTTCT